TATATACATGTTTTATGACATTATTTTCGATTTGATCAAGAACGTAAACTTGCCAACGCTGTTTGAGTAACATTAGCAGCCAGTCAGTTGCTATTGTTGCCAGTCAGATGCTATTGTGTTAAACAAACGTGTATAAAGTAAAAAAAATATATAGCAAATTATCATTCAGAAACGTTTATTAAGAGCCGTGTGTGGTGAGGTTCTGTTTGACTCTCTTCATCGCGGCTTTCTCGTTCTGATTCTGCCTCAAACTGATACTGCAGTTCGACACATATACATCTGGACCGGAGCTCATGACATGCACGTTTCGCCCGTAAAGGTAATGGGCGTTAACCTTCCGGACAACGTGAGCGACAGTTTAGCCAATCACCACACACCGGCCCAAACTAACCAATCTGAGCCCACTGCCTGTTTATGAGGGAGTGGTTTCATAGTCTCAGGAAGTCGACCGACCGGTCGTTCGAGGACAGAGGAGAGCGGGGCTTACAATAAAGGTGAAGTTTATGAAAAATAAGACTTTTTAAAAAAGAAAAACCACGAATACATGTTATATTGCACCCCATAAACACAGTGCAGACAGAGCGAGAATGGCTGGCAAACAGTTGTTTACAGTATGTTCATAATTGTAGGACTGTTACTCTGTACTGTAAAGTTTTCTCACCGTCGATTGACACATAATGTAATCAAATGTTGTCTCTGGTTTGTTCATGTGTTTTCGAGGAGGTGTGGCTTTGGAAGGCGATTTGTAGGGAGGGTGGGGACATATGCTTTCAAAGCTAGCCAGCTAAAGTTAGCATTTCCCAGATCACCTCTTCATGCACCTTTAATCTACATGGATATTGGATTTTTTTCCCCTTGATATTAAACTGAAATAAGTTTAAGTTTGAGCACTGAAATTATAAACTGAAGATAAAAATAGCAATATAATAAAAGCAATACACTAAAATAGCAGGGGTGTGTGAATGTTATGCTTGTGTGCGCACTAGCGAACCAAACCCAAATCTGCTTAAATTCAAAGGGGACAGCTAAATAACCCAGTAGAACAGGCTTAACTACGTTAAACAGCAAATTAAGTGGAAAGATAACTGCAGGGAGAATGGGGAAATAGTCAAAAAAACAACAACAACAACAACAACAACAGTAAATGCATGAAGTAGACTCTCGCTAAACAGTTTATTGACTAGGGCTAATGCCATGATATATTATATTTGCAAATTGCAACTGAAGATAAAAAGCCATAATTTAGCCGCCATATTTGTAGAAACCATTTCCAGACAATATGGCCATTGGATTTTCTATTTAGTTTGTCATGAGAGTTCCTCTTATAGATGGGGTTGGCATGAAAGGAAGAGAAAGTTTGCATAAACACAGGACAAAAATATGATGTTATGAAATATTCATGTTTGTTATACACCATGTGCTTCACACAACCTTGGAATTTGCATTGTTACAGTTCTCCTAAAGGTGATACAATTTGTGTTTTGCCCTCAAGGTATTTTGTCCAGTTGTTGTTAATTGTACTCCAGATTTGGTAAGTTGTTTCAAAGTATAGCCTTTTAGGAAGTAAAGTATTTCCTTTTTTTTTTTTTTTAAACAAAACAATGAATAAATTAATAATGGGAAAATAGAATAAAAGGTAAAAATAGTAACTACATCCAGGGAGAGAACATGTGGCCTAATTAAATTCCATCCAGAATAAACTCAAACGACTTTCATTAAAGTCAGTATTTTGAAAATAAACATACATCTATGTAGATATTAAACACACACACACACACACACACACACACACACACACATATATATATATATATATATTTATATACTGTACTGTACTGTATATATTCTGTATATATATACTGTATGCAAACATACCTACACAGTATACACTTAATAATTTATATCAGCAAAATCAGACCTTCTATATGATATATTCAACCCATTTCCTCCATTTTCCACACCCATAAGGTATACTATCTTGACATACACAACCCAAATAAAGTAATTTGCTTTTAAGAGGTACTGCAAGCTAATCAGTGGCGGTTCTAGAACATTTCAACTGGGGGGCCAAGCTGGGTCCAGTTGTACTGTTAGAGGGGCCATTTACATTTAGACCTTATTGTTGTCATATCATTTAACAGGCATAAACAGGTAAAATACCATGTTTATAATCATCCAGCAATGTATTTCCATTTCCATTATATTTTTACATTTGCGTTACATATTCAGCATCAGTCACATTAACTGTATTTGAATTTCCATTACATTTATTTTTACATTTGCATATATAGTGCTAATAAAATTATTAAGCCTATTTTTATAATGTGACAATATGTCAATTATCGTGTGATAACAAAAAAAATGACTAGGACTTAAATACTTGTTCTGAGAAGGTGTTGTTAGTGAACAGGCTGTAAAACTGTTGGCTATGTTACAGACACTCATGAAAAACTGATGCAATTATCAGGGAAACGTTCTCTAACATCAGTCAAGTTATCATTGTTTTTATCAAACAAGTTGTGAATTTGTTGTAACGTTAATACAGGATATCATGACTTACTCTGTGCTCAAAGTGATGCTCGGAGCTCCAGTAGTTAGTTTCACGCTTTTTTTTACATTGGTTGTTGCATTAAATCTTACCCAGATACAATAGTGCTCTTTTCTAATTGGCTATTGAGTAGCACCTTTCTTTTTTTTTTGATTGGCTGATAAGTGTCAGGGTCAACTGCTGAACTGCTGAATCAAGACGTGATGGATTCTCACCGGTTCCATAGTGAGAGCTAGCCTGGCTAACGCCCGACCATGTTTACGAATGCCCAGAGCCGTATTATTGGGTGCTACGAATGTCTATCAAAAGCACCTGTACGTAGCTCATAGCCAATCGGTTCAATGATACCAGATGACATATAGTGACAGAAAATTAGACGAGGAAAAAGACGATGGTTCAGAGATTTAAGAGATTTAACGTAAAACTTAAATTAATAGCCGAGTCCCAAATAGACGCCTGTCTCTTTTACACGCCTGGTGTGACTGAATGTTTGGGTAAATAAAAGCCGGTCTCAAATAGAGGCCGGGTCTGTTTTTTAGTTTTGGGTTGTTAATCTTCTAAACCCGTCAGATCGTTCGCTTTTTGGTGGCCGCCAAAGCAAATTTTTGTCCTGCCAAAGCCTATTTTGATCAGTGAGTGATGTAGAATAGAATGACTACTGCGCTTGACGGCGCATAACGAGCAGAGAGAGAGAGAGAGAGAGAGAGAGAGAGAGAGAGAGAGAGAGAGAGAGAGAGAGAGACGCGCGCACTCTCACGTCTTCAAACACAAGCCTTGCTCTCTTTCCCTCGCGCATATTAATCAAATCAATTGACACGATAGTAAAAGTTTGGAAGACCGCAGTATCACGTGAAGCATTTGGAGATTTTTAGAGATTATAGACTCAATGAACAACATTTCAATAATAAATTATAAATTATAAAGACGCCTGTCTCAAATACAAGCCGGTGCAGTTTGACGATTTGGGAAAATAAAACCCCGGACTACTATTTGAAGTTTTACGGTATGTATACACAAAGGCTGTATCAAAAGGTAACTTCACGTCCGCTGCCAAGATGGATCCATAGATATAAACAAACTGCTTCGGTGTCGCATAGACGTCGTCATCGTTTTGCCGCTACCTCCCCGTTCTGTGATTGGTTGCCTATCTCAGGCAAAAATTTGGTTCATGGTGTCCAGGCTGCCTAAGAGCATGAATTAAACTGTGCTGCGGCAAGGCAGCATGGGGAAACCCAGGCTAAGTGAGAGCGGCGCGGCCAGAGAAATTGCGGTATATTAAATATATAATAAATAGTTTTTCCGCATGAAAAATTCAATGTGTGACGGGAGTGCGTGACATAAGACCGAAATGAGTGACTGCCACACTGTAAAAAATGATTTCACACTCCACATTTAGGGGGGGCACAAGGGGGTTGTGAGGGGGTTGTTAAAACTGATTAACAAATAACAGTAGGGAAAACACTTATTTAGAAATAAAAATATGTATGAGACACTTAGGCTAGCCTAACAACTTAAAGGAGTAGTTCACTTTAAAAAAAAATGTTTGCTGATAATTTACTCACCCCCATGTAATCCAAAATGTCCATGTCTTTCTGTCTTCAGTCGAAAAGAAATTAAGGTTTTTGATGAAAATATTCCAGGATTTTCTCCATATAATGGACTTCAATGGGAACCAAACGGTTCAAGGTCCAAATGAGAGTTTCAGTGCAGCTTCAAAGGGCTTTAAACGATACCAGACAATGAATAAGGGTCTTATCTAGTGAAACGATCGGTCATTTAAAAAATAAATAAATAAGTTTAACACAAATGCTCGCCTTGCTCTGTTCTGTGATGAGCGTTCGTGACTCTCCTGCTCATTAAAATGAACAAATCGAAGGGTCCTATAAAGACCCTTATTCATCGTCTGGTGTCTTTTAAAGCCCTTTGAAGCTGCACTGAAACTCTCATTTGGACCTTGAACCCTTTGGTTCCCAAAGAAGTTCATTATATGGAGAAAATCCTGGAATGTTTTCATCAAAAACCTTAATTTTTCTCGACTGAAGAAAGAAAGACGTGGACCTTGGATGACATGGGGATGAGTAAATTATCAGCAAAAGTTTTTTTTTTAAAGTGAACTACTCCTTTCAGGTTAAATCTGAAAAACTGAATAAAGTATCATAGGCTTGCAAGCATTGGTGTGAAAATGTTCACCGATCTTGATTGATTAGCATTAGGCTAGCCTAATTTACTGGGATAATTTTTTTGTGTGACAGAAGTGGTTGTAAAGATATCCTACCATTCAGTAAATTCTGGGCAGATAGGGTGTGCTTTACAACAGTAATTGAAGCAGGCGTCAGTGTTCGTTGGTTAAGTACAGTCAACTGGCTATTGACGTCTCCTTATTTGACTTGGATTGCCTCACTTTTGTATGAGGGCCGCTGATAGTCCGCCGTTTGAAAAGGGTTCAAAGAACTTCAAAGTTTCCGTGGCGAGTCACAACCAAATCGTATTCCAGAAAAAATGTAACGGAGGAGTTGTTTTCATTGGACATACAGAGCGGCAGAAACCACGAGTGCGAAGTTAGAAAAGTTTCTAAGGGAACGGCGATTTGTGCCCTCTGTTTCCCTCTAGATATCTCCCGCTGGAAGAAGAACTACCCCTGAAACACACATGGTACAATCCAATGCACCTTTTGATCATTCCAGCAGAAGCAGCAGCGACTGACTGTGGAACAACATTTCAAGGTTCTTGGTGGAGTTGCGGCGGCGTTCTGATTTGTCTGTGTAGTTCAACTTAACCCGTGTCCGAACGGGATCACAGACGCCTTAAACAATGATTTTTAAAGAGTTCTTCATCTAATTCAGTTGATCTAAAGGGTGCTGATACTTAAAAAAAACCCAAAAACAAAAACATTTGCGAAAACACAGCGCGACCGAAAGAGGATTCTTCGCGATGAGGCTCACTGCGGTGCTTTGTGGCAGTCTTTTAACTTTCATGCTTCTCGCCGAAGGTAAGTGTTTTGGAGTTCTTTGCAATTTGCTTTGAGAAGTAAACACGTCGTTCCTTGTAAATACAGTCTACAAAACAAAAATAGCCCACAGAACAGAATTAAACCGTATCCTCATCAAAGAGTTGTCAGACATTTAACGTTACACAAACAAAACAAAACAGAGTCGTGATAGATTCCGACCGCGTTAAAGGAGAAAATCACCCCACCATGGCCAGTTTGCCAAGATATGAAACTAATACTAGTTGTTGATGTAGCCTATATTATATAAATAGAATTTAATTTACCGTGCAGAGAAATTTCCTTGCAAAAATGCTGCCTGACTGAAGCGAACTTGATGCTTTTCGATGGAAACGCGGACGTTTCTACAATATAACATGCAAAGTAGGTTTTCTTTTGAACACCATCCGTCTTTTATGAAATACATAAACGCCACTTCGTTGTAAGTCAACATCTCCGCTCACTATATTCGCAACATGTTGGAACAGCCGCTGCACGCGGGCAGGAATGTAGCGACTTCAAAGCGCAGGTTCGGCCTTAATAAAGAAATACACGGACGCAGCTTTGACAGAATTACACGGATCAATTACAGTGTTGCATCAGTGAAAATGTCTGTAAATGTCAACTAGATATCTACCCCTGTGTATCAGGAAACAAAAGACCCTTGGAGCGATTGCCAAAAAAAGTGTGCACAATCTCTGCGAGATTCATTATTCACTGTATGCTTTCCAAACAATTTCACGTCTTACATAACACGTGCAATTTATATGTAGGCAATCTGTGTTAACCATCCCTTCTTATGTGCATTATTAGTATATTCACATTATTCTTTTGTAATGAAATGTAATGTATCGCTAGCTGGATGTCTTGTTCAATAATAGCCTATAATATTATCTAAAGAATAAACTTTATCTCTCGAGTCATGACACAAACTGTTTTGCATTGTTCACACACTGTTCACAAACTGCATTGAGGTTCACACATTGTTCAAGATGTAGATCATGTTTTGTTTAGGTGCACAACTGAACTTTTTTTGGTAAGACACTTCAGCTACAATTTAGTTAAGGTTAGTCACATGGACATCATTTGTTTCTTTACTCTAGGTTTTTCTTTCTTTGCAAAACTTTGCAGAAGAATTGATCAGATATACTTAAATTGAGTTGGAAAGAGGCTAATTTCTAAGGAAACAAATATGAAGGTTGATATGAACCAGCCAACACATTCCAACATCCACGTTCTGCATGAGCAACTTGTTTCTGTATGGTATACTGGTTTTACAATTTTGTCATTAATGTTAAAGATGAACTTTTTAAATCTTTATCATCAATGTAGTTGTTTTGAGATGTTGAAAACTCTTTACAGGAGGATTCTCTTTGGTGTATTTTTAAGCTGATGCTTCCTTGTTGTTTTTTTGCATTTATAGTCACTGGCAGCATATATGACTACCAGTGTCCTGCTTACAAGTGTATGGGCTTTTTATATAGTGTGTGAAAATGTGTGGCAATGTCTTGGGTTTCTCACAACCCCCTGGGCATTAGCTCTAATATCATGATCTCATTCAACTACTCATAAGATATATATATATATATATATATATTCAATTACTCATAAGATATATATATATATATATATATATATATATATAATGAGCTCTTAATTGCCTACGGAATCCGGCGGTCAAAAACAGCACAAGTTGAAGCATTTCCATTGATGCATCACGCAAATGAAAAGATTCAATATTTGTAATAAATCGGTTAATTAATTCTTCTCCTTGAGATTTTATTATATATATATGAAAATATTATGTAGGTAAACTGATTTTTTATATTCTGAATGACATAAATCATTATACCAAAATAATAAATATTCTAAAATTTACTAAAATAATAAAATAAAACTAAAAAAGGGAAGCAACCAATCTCTGTTAACCTCTTCTAATAAGTCAAATATCAAAAAGCAATCTCATTAGTTGGAGTTGGAATTGTTTACTTAATGCGATGAGGACGTTTTCTGTATCTTATTTGGAGAAAAGTTTACATTTAAACAGCTCTTGGTGACTTATTTTTTTTTTTTTTTTTTGTTGGCTGTAATATTTTTGTAATTATTATATATAGGTCTTCAAGAGAGTTCATACAATACACTTTTAGAAGAAGTTCTGTCAGGAGCTTCATAGAACCTTCCCATCATGGGATCATTTTATGGATTTAGTTGTAATTAATTAATGGTTCAATTAATTTTGTTTATTTACATTTATGTTATGAATTAAACAGCAGCACATAAGCATACTTTAACACTAGGCAAAATTGAAAACCCATTAAACATGAAATTATTATGCAATCTTTTAAGGTATTTCTCCTTGAATAAAACCTTTTTTGGCATTAAGGGGTTCTTTAAAAAGAGTCAAGAACCCAAGGGTTCTACATAGAAATCCACTGACTGAACCTTTTTTTTTTCTAAGATTAAGAAAAAGGTGACAAGCTTGAGTCTTGAGCTATTTGCACAAGTTAAAAAGGTTTCTATGTTTGATTTGGAGGATCCATGTAAATAATGGGGAAAAAATTCTGTGCCTAAGGGAAGGCGATATGACTAAAATCTTTTCACATATGAGTTATATTATTTCACAATAACAGTATCACCACAGTATAGTTATTTTGATTTCAGTTTATCTTTGTTCATTTAATATAATAAACTCGAAAATAACAAAAAAATAGGAAATAGTTTTCAGGGGCAGTAGGTCTATCCAAATAAAGCTTTTATTTATTTTAGCAGAAATTGTAAACAATCAAATGTAAAATAATAATAAAATTCTAAATCAGGTGCATGAATTCACGCTCAACTGACGTTATGAAGTGAGTTTGGAGTAAAATCATGTTATTAAATGTTGAACATTGTTGGGCAAGAGGTTCACAATTGCTTCTTATGTTTAGAAAAATACTTGTTGCGTGTTGCTTTTTCAAATGCACGTTATAAGCGAATCAAACTCACAGTGATTTCAGATGGAGCAGCATTTACTACTGATCACAGAGCCGTGCTTCACTGACTAGCTGTGCATAAAAAATAATCGCACTAAGCCAAATCAAATTAAGCGCGATTTCGGGTTCATTGCGATTAATCGTGCAGCCCTAGTTTTAACGTGTACGCAATGGTCCGCATACAATGTGTGTGACTCAAATTTCATCACCAGAATAGTATGCTCGCCGCCTGATTTATGTAACTGTGTTAAGTTTGTATGCACAGGTCGCACATGCCCATTGAATTTGTTTTGCACTTAATTAGTTGTTCCATAGGGTTTCACAGTAAAAAATGAAACTAAAGAGAGGGAAGAGTAAAATACCGAAGACTGCAAAAACAACAGATGCCTGCATTGACAAGCACTTGTGCAAGGTTGTTATGAGATAGTTTAGAAGTTTAGTTCAAAAGAACAAGACATGTTTATAATTTAGAACTTCAGGAGAAAAATGTCGACTGCATGCTATCAAATGGAGTATACTTTGAAAGGCTATGCGCATACGCTAGCAAACGGGAAAAAAAAGTGTCGTTGGGCTTAAGTCATGAAAGACAACTCAGTTCTGACAAATAGACCAAACTTTCAGATGGCTATTTAAAGAAAACCCACTTTTAGCTTATTGGTTGATACTGGTGAGTAGGCAGTACTTTACTGTTTTACTGAAATGTGGATAAAGTGGGCAAAAAAGTTACGGGCCTGCTCACCCATGTTCTCTGACACTCTGCCCAGTTCTGTCTCAGAAAGTGGAGATTTTCACCCTGTGAATGAAATTGATCTTATTTTGCACAGTACATGACAACAGTTACTAGGATTTTCAGTCTGCACACCATCACATTTAATCATGGTGAAGAGGGGCCATTCATTATTTTACTCAACTAAGGCACATTGGAAAACGTGTGCGCCTTTTCTGCAAAATATTTTTTGCTTTTGGGTGTATTGAAATGTGCAGTCAGTGGTGCTAAAAGTGCATTTAGTTCTATCCAAAACAGATGAACGTGAAGGTTTTATGTTAGTTGTTGTATAAATTATTGCGGCAGTATGGAAATGAAATGTCTGACGAGTGGCGCTAAAAGGTTAATGCTCTATTGTGTTGGAAAGTAACGCACACTAACCAATAGTGTTAAAGGTGCAATCGGTAATTTTTTCACCACCAGAGGTCGCTTTTTTAAAACAATAACAGAGACTGAGAGTGGACCAATGGGAGGTGTTGTTTACACAATCCAGAGATGTATGGAATTCACTAATCATAAATTATATATCAGCTAATAAATTAGTTTTTGTATTATCTGAACATTTAACCACACTATTTTATGTCATCATAATGAATTCTCTGCAAGGAAAATGAAATGTAATGTTATATTAGCCTGGTACTAATATGTGACTATTTGTCAAATGATTTGGTGCGTTAATGCTGCGTGTTTAAAACAATCGTACCAAAAGTACATTTGAACAAACCCACAGTATTTGCATGTAATTGCTAAATGTTTTTGTGCAACACATATGCTACTGTATTTCATTTCACTGCTATGGTCACCAGACTTGATCAAAAGCGTTACTGAAGTACAAACACAGTCTAATATAACTGTATGTGTACAATTAATAATATATTGCTTATCTGTTGTAAAATACATGAGCAGAGTCTCTGTCGACAGATCAAGTCTAAGTTTGTCATGAAAACGCCACACTGATATTGATACTCGTTTAATTTCTCCATTTGTCCCACAGCCTGCTTGCCTCATTTGATCTATGTTTAATATATCACACTGTGTAAGTGGTTTCTTTATTTCTTTATTTTTTTTTTTTACAAAAACTTACATATTGTACCTTTAACAAAACCAAACTAGAGATAAAAACACATTTGCTAAATCAACCATGCCATTTCCGTTGATTCTACAAGTCTTTGGGCTCTTGTCATTACGAAAGTTTTGAAATGAGATTTTTTAGACTTGTTGTAGACTTTTACCTGAGTGCTTTGCATTTCAACTACAATGGTGCG